TGCAACCCATTGAGAAAGAGATTTTGGGAGTGAAAAGCTCTGCGTGCTTCACCTCTACTCCTTATCAAATCATAAAAACAAACCTGTTGCTAGTTTTGGTTTGCTTTCAGATTTGGTTATCTCTTGGAATTTTGGATTCAGAAGAGGGTTGAGGGAAAATGAATGTGAGCCTCTAGTGCTTTTGATCTCAACACTTGAAAGGGTCTACTTGGACCAATCTATAGCTGATAGTAGAGTTTGGTCCCCAACTCCTGATGGGTTATTTTCCTGTGCATCTTTCTTTGGTTTGCTCACTCACATTGATCCTATGAGGGTGAACTTCCTAGTGAGAGAAATCTGGTGTAAACCGATCCCTCCAAAAGTACAAGCTTTCTGTTGGGAAGTGTTCCTAGGGAAGGTAAACACTTGTGATGTGCTACAGAAAAGGAGGCCAAACAATTGCCTCTCTCCTCATGTGTGTGTCCTTTGTACGGATTGTGGTGAAACCCTAACCCACTTACTTTTATCCTGCTCTTTTGTTTCTGGTATTTGGAATGTTGTTTGTTCTCTCTTTGGATGCATATGGGTTCCCCCACAGGATGTGGTAAGTCTTTTCAGCCCCTCCTTCCCGAGACAACAGAAGAAAAGAGGAAAGTGCTTATGGAAGTTAGCAAGAGCAGCTACAGTATGGACTATATGGGAGGAAAGAAACCTAAGAATTTTTTCTGGAAAAAGAAAATCAAAGGAGGAAGTTATTGAAGCCATAAAAATCATAACTGTACATTGGGTGAAGCCCATGGAGTTATTCAAAAATTACTCCACGAGTGAGATTCTAAGAAGGTGGGCTGAAGTAGCACAAACAGATTCACCCAAAGTAATTGTGAGTGTGGAATGGAAGCCACCGGCACTGAACAAACTAAAACTAAACTTTGATGGGAGTTCTTTTGGCAACCCAGGAAGGGTAGGCATAGGGGGGGGTGTTTAGAAAGCATCTGGGTGTGGTGACTCAATACAGGCTGAATCTCTAGCCCTAATTCAAGGTCTAAAGATGGCTGAGCAGATGGGTACAACAGACTTAGAAATAGAATGAGACTCACTATTGGTCATTTCTTGGGCTAAAAATATCACATCAGTACCTTGGAAGCTCAAATTTATCTTCAGAGAAATTGACATACTTGCAAGGAGGATCAACTCTCAGTTTGGTTGGGTCAAACGGAATGCAAATGGGATGGTGGTTGTAGAGTAGATTAATGCTTCTCTGCAAAGTTTAACTATTGTAACTGATTTTCTCTGTTTTAATTAAAAATTTCTTGCTGATCAAAAAAGAAAAAAAATACTCTGCGTGCTTCTTCCTCTAAAGCAAAAATGATGAGCCACTTGCTCCCTTCAAGTCTTCGCATAGACGGAGTTTGCAGGTTCCGCTACTGGAGAGATGTCCAATGTTCTACCTCTTCGTTTGAAGGGCAGCCTCTTGAGACATGCAGAATCGGACATCTGTGGAGGAAGGTTTCGCGATACTGAACCCCATCTCAGCTACCACGACCTTGATAGAACTTCCAAGCACCCAAACTGATGCAAGACCTTCCTCCGAAGTCCCAAAATCTGCCATGAATAGATTCACTTTGTGTTGTAAGCATGAAACACCATCCCATCTTCACTTTGCACAGCCAATTATGAAGATTTAAAACCCAGCCAATTATCCTTGAGCTAATTACCACCCCTACTTCATTGCTTTTCATCTTTCCTTCATTTTTTTGTTTCTCTCCTTCCAAACCTTCCAACAGACATCAAAGGGAATGCAACTCCAAATGATTTTAAACTTAGAGCTTCATTGAACTCTTGGCCTGCAACTGAAGATCTCATTGTAATTGATCGGGGACCACCCAACCACCCTGAAGAGCTTGAAGAAGTAAGCCTCAAATGCCTTTCACAAAGTAGCAATTCTGTTTGGAAACTGAAATCCTCTTTTTTTCAACTTATCTTGAGTGAGGATACTATCCATTGAGACCAACCAAGCAAATGCCTCTGCTCTTGGAGGAATTGGTTTCCCCCAAACACCTCTAATTGAATCGGCCTCCACTCGATTTCTAACCAGAGCATTGTAGAGAAACTTGACTGTGAATCTTCCTTCTTTACATTCCTTTCACCATTTAAATTTGAAGCCAAGGGGTCAATCAACACCTCTTGTAACTTTGCCAGCATCCCTACACGCTCCACCTCCCAATCAAATAAAGGTCTTCCAAATGTAGGACACCATACAACTGAACCATTACTGATCTCATAGCGGTGGAAAATAGGCACCACTTTCTTGCTCAAATTGTAAAGCCTTGGGCAAAGATCACAAAGCTTTTCAACTCCTAACCATTAATCTTTCCAAAATCTTACACTAGACACATTCCCCACTCTCCAAGAAAAGAAAGGTTGCATCAATGAATTGAACTTCATTATCCTCTTCCACACACTTACCTCATAGGATGATCTCACCTCCCTCGAATCGCACCCAAAGATCACCACCCCATAGGCCCATACTTACATGCTACAGCCCTCCTCCAAAGGGTTTACCTCTCCCTCCCAAACCTCCACATCCATATTCCCAACAAGACTTTATTGAAAGTTCCCACCCTTCTCACTCTCAAGCTCCCATCTTTTTTAGCTCTACATACCAAGTCCCACTTGACCAAATGAAATTTCTTCCTTTCCGCTTCTATGTTCCACCCAATGTTTTAAAACGCGGAGGCGTGACATGAGGCGTTGCACTACCTAGAGGCATGAGTCGTAGTTCAGAACGCAAGTGGTGTAAGCCTCCCGAACACAAGGAGGCGTAAGCCTCCTTAAGAGGAGGGGGGTTAGGAGGAGGATGAAGAGGAAGGGGGGATCTCATTTTTTCTTTATTTTTAATAAAAATTTTTTATATTAAGAAGAACAAAGATGCATAACATTAGTTGAAGCCCCGACTAAAAAAAAACAAATTGGGCTGCATTGAGAAGGGGGCGGGTTCGCCCCCCAACCGAAGGGGCAGGGGGCAAACCACTTTCTTCCCCTTAGCTTTTCTTCCCTTCCCTTCCCTTTCCTTTTCTTTTCTTTCCTTTTCTCTTTTTTTTTTCTTCTCTTTCTTTTTCTTTCCCTTTCCTTTCCTTTCCTTTCTTTCCTTTCCTTTTTTTTTCTTTTTTCTTTTTTTTGTCTTTTTATATAAGATGTGCATGAGGCGCATGAGGCGTACGCCTCTAGCACACCTCATGAAAAAAGTGCATGAGGCGTACGCCTCTTGCACCTAAGGCGTACACCTCAGAGGTGTCAGCGCCTCTGGCATACGCCTCAGGGCGTTTTGGGAGCGCCTCCAGGCGTACACCTCCTACGCCTTTTAAAACATTGGTTCCACCAAAAGTCCCTTTGGAGTTTCTCAATTGAACACCAAAGTTGGTGCCTTTAAGAGAGATAGGTAATAAATTGGCAAATGACAGATATTTGTGGTCCCCCCAAATGACAGATATTTGCCTTTCCAGCCAGCATATTGTAGGCAACATTCTGTCTCTCCCAACTTTTTTTTTTGATCAATAACCGTAAAGGTCTGAGCAAATCAATTTGTATTCGTATGTTCTTGGGACTACACAACAGGGGTAGCCTATCCCCCTAACCCTTAAAACCCCCAACCCTGTTGATAGTAATATTTGATACTGAGTCTCCACTATAAACAACTGGAGATCTCACCAACGGAGCCACCATTAAACCCATAGAACAGCCCCACATCTCTACCTTTGACTGCCAACTTGCTCAAAACCCCCACTACTAGCACAAAAGGCATAAGGGAAAATGGATCCCCTTGTTTTAAGCCCCTTGAAGCATAAAAAAATTTAGTTGAGACCCCGTTCACCAAAAATGGAAATGAAACTTAGGAAATGCATGCAAATATCCAACTCCTCCATCTTTCCCTGAATCCCAGCCTCCAAACTTCTTCTAAAAATCCCCGTTGTACATAATCTTATGCTTTCTCCAAATCAAGTTTGCAAATCACCTTACCTTCCCCACTTCTATTTCTCACATCCACACATTCACTTGCAATCAACACCCCATCAGAATCTGTCTCTTGGACAAACACCATTTGTGTAGGACCCACTACCAAGTGCAGCACCATCTTTCATCTCCTTTTCTTACCTCTTTTCTTCATCCACCAAATGATCATGTATGAATATTCCTCTACCTTCACCTTAAAGCAACCAAAGGCATATAACAGTCATAATCCCTAGGGATGTCAGTGGGTTGGGTTAAATGATAAACCCACATTGACCCAACCCTATTGGGTTAGGGTTGGGTCAACCTTAATTGGGTTCAAGTTGAGGCTAACCCATGGCAAACCTGACCTGTTGACACTGTAGCACTGAAATATTTGTACAAATAGCCTTGATTGAGTATAGGTTTACTATTTGTGGGGTGAGTCAGATTGGATTTGGTATCTCACTTTGTTTAGTTGGATGGGGTTGGCTTCTGGTTGAGTTGAACCTGTTCTGAACCCAAGCCATTGATATCCCTAATAATCCCCTTAGAAGGACCAAAGGCTCAGCTTAGATATAGTAACCCTGCTCCATTGGACCCCGCTTAGATATAATAATCCTGCCCCATTGGACCAAAATATATATGTAATACTTTAGCCTGATGGACCCATGAGAAAGTGGAGCCCAAATCTGTATGCATATTTCTGGATGCAGACGAAGATGAAACCTGAGTCCAACCTCAACAAATAATATTAGTGCTGAATTGTCTAAACTTTTCTCTGGTATGCAGCGATGAGCCATTCTAATAGTGACGAGCTCAATAATTTCCTCCTGCATCTCTCTTTTGTTGGAGAACATTCTAGTGTTCCCCTTCTTCCAAATGCACTTTATCTTTGTCTTTGATATAAAGTTTTTCTTTGAAATTTAATATATTCAGTTGCTCATTTTCTTTATTTAGCTCTATTAGTTTCATGTGTTGACCTTTTATTCTATTGATGTTTATATCCATTTGTTGTACAATAATATCATCAGGTACTTGCTAGCATTCCAGCATTTCATAGGTTTGACCTTTTAAAGGCATTGGTAACAAATAATAGATTTCCTTCAATGGTAAGCTGCTTCAGCCCATCTTTTTCATGTTTTACATAGTAATATTCCAACATATTCATTGTTTTATGAATCACAATTTTATTTTTAAAATGTACATTTTTATGCAGATTGCAATTCTTATTGACCTTGTTAGAGCAGAGATGGCCATGGAAAATCCTCAAAAAGTTCCACCAAGCTCACCATTTTGGAGTCCTAATGTGCTTGAATTCATAGAGTTGGTTTTGAAGCCTCCCAAGGGAGGTCCTCCATCCCTCCCTGAGCATAGTGATGCGGTAATTCTTTTGCACTTTTCATTTTTAATGCTTTTGTTTGCTTATAGTTTGGTAATCACAACCTAACAATTAGGGGTGAGAATAAGGCTAAACTAGGCTAGGTCTAGGTGGTCCCAAGATTAGCACACATTGTGCAAGTTTGGGCTTGGGTTGGGCTTAGGCCCAAATCCTGTCTGATAATTAGGATGGGCCTTATGGTTGAAAATATGATCAAAGCAAAATGGGTATGCTATGAAGATTGGAAAATGTAGAAAACTTTGGAAAATATAAAACCACAAGAAAAGGAAGTTAAAAAGAAAGTGAAGGTGGAATTACAACGGAGACGAAAGGGGAAGGTCGAAGGCAGATTTTCGGGCAGAAACACGAGGGGAAAAGGACGGGTTTGGAGGACCTCCAGGTCAAGAATTTCGACAGAACAATAGAAAGGAAACGTACGCTGAGGTTGTTGGTGGCTTGTCATGTACTAAAGAAGGATCTGCAGAGGTGAGGGCAGACGGAAATTGCATGTTCATTGCCACGGAAGGGTTGGGGAATGAAAAATGGAAGAAGTTTCTTAAAACCTGTTTACTTGGTGCAATCTCCACCGTGAAACAGTTGGAGGATTTTAGCAACTGGTCCATGCAAAGATGGAAGGTAAAAGGGGGGTTGAGACTACAGAGGCTATCGGGCTCGAGGATTCTCTCAATCTTTGCAAATGAGGAAGAACCCAAAAGGGTTTGGTGCACCGGTGATAGGAATGTGGATGGAGAATTGCTACTTCTGGTACCGTGGGACATGGGGGGATTGTACTAGAATGCGGTAGTACGAAAAGCTTACTAGCTAAGAATCTTTGGTTTACCTCTTCATTTTTGGAGTACCAAGGTGGTGGAGAAGATTGGGAATCTCTGCAGAGGCTATTTGGAGACCAACGACTCGAACTTGGCCAAAGAAACAACATAATGGATCATGTTGAGAATGGCTAAACATGGGTGTTTTTGGTTTTTTTTCTTCTTTCTTATACTCTTAGTATTTGGGCACCCATATAGGGGCCTTCTTGTAATTATTATTTTCACAAATTATGAAGTAATCTTTTGAGGGTGTGAACAATGAACAACACACACCTCTCGACACTTTCTCTTCTTCTTCTCTTCTTTTCTCTTCTTCCTCTCTCTTGAAACCCTAGTTTTTACAACTTGGTATCAGAGCGGGTAGAAGCATATGGGAGTTGTTCTCTACTGATCTCCTACCTAGAGGCGAACTGCGGACGTTAGACCGCCGCTGGATGACGTCAACAATCTGTACAGGTGCCAGCAGCAGTCTATGAAACCAGCACAGTTTGATCCATCCTGATTTTAGAAAAAATTTGGTATGACTCTTGTCATCATATGAAGCTTCTATGATTTTTGGTGGATTTTTTAAGGAAAAAATCACAGAAATTCCAGGTCTGATGTCGAGCCATGTACAACAGGTTTAATGATATTTTTTCTGCTGTAAAACCTAGGCCATTCGATTCGTTTTTCAATTTGGGATTGATGGGAAGTGGTCCCGTAATTTTCTGAGCATTGTGTGATTTTTGGGAGATTTTTTTCTCCTATTTTGCCGCCAACCTAGTTTTTTCAGGCTTCCTATGGTTCATAACCGTGTAGTAACTTGGTTTTTGGGTCTGGAACCTTGGTTAAAGTGTTGGGGGTCCTTTTTGGTTGGTGAAAAGGTGTCTTATTAGAATATGGAATCATCTAAGGATTTTCAGATGGTTCCCGACATGCTCCCGGGAATTGCAAATATTTCCAATGTTATGATAACTACTGTTAAACTGGATGGAACTAATTTTTTTAGAGGGGTAAACTAGGATTCATCACAGGAAGGGAAGTAAAGCCGAGTCCTGAAGACCCGAAATTTGCAAGGTGGGAACAGGATAAGTCCCTTGTTATGTCATGGCTGATTTGCTCAATGCAACCTCATATTGCTCGAAATTACATGTTTCTTCCATCTGCCAAGGATATTTGGGATAGGGTGGTTGCTACTTATTCCAAGTTAACAATACTGCTTAAGTGTATCAGCTTAGGAGGGAAGCTTGCAGTATGCGTCAAGGGGAGAGATCTGTTGCTATGTATTTCTCTTCTCTACAGTCTATCTGGGAAGAAATGGTCCACTTGAAATCTCTAGTTTGGAAGGACCCTGAAGATGGTGAGCAGTATCGGAAGTACATAGAGGAGAATAGAGTCTTTGATTTTTTCGTAGGCTTAAAACCAGAGTTTGATTTCAACAGGCAACACATTCTTAGTGCAAGCATTGTCTTTCTTGCTACTGCTTACTCTCTTGTACAAGGGGAAGAAAGTCGAAGAACCGCCATGATGCAATCCTCTGTGAGTGATCATTTTGCCTTTATGTTATCACGACCCAAGCAAAATACTAGCAAACATCCCATTGTAGAGAAGGTCGAGGATGTTATTTGTGAGTACTGCAAGAAGCCATGACACACTAAAAAAAGGTGCTGGAAGCTCAATCCTCATCTAAAGCCGGAGAAGTACAAAATTGGGAAGAAGGGCAATGCTCACCTGGCTACAGTTGGTAATGATGCTTGTTAGAATGCTCGAGTCAGGGGTATTTTGGTCATTCTGGATTATCTGCTTGAGAGTGAAAGGTCTATTGTATCTGAGTTTAAGTTATGTGTCCCATCTTCTATGAGGGACAAAATGGTCTTTCCTGTAACTCTATGTTTTTGAATAAATA